ATGCTGGGCACAGACCTCCGCCGTAAGAGGTGATGGGTTGTCCAGCTGTTGCCATGGTCAAAGTGACCTCTCCAAGAGTCGATTCGCTGTTCCCTGAAACGCCTGAGACTGGAGTGATCTTGTTGCGGTTGCCCATGGAGCAGCAGCTCTTGAGCATCCTGATCAATGTCTCACTGCCGACTTATGGTCGCTGGGTTGTCTGATCCGCTGATCCGCTGGTCCGCTGATCCGATCACTGGTCCGCTGATCCGCTGATCAACTGGACCCGCTGGTCCCCTGATCCGCTGCACCTCTTGTCCGCTGATCCGCTGGTCCACTGGTCCGCTGATCCGCTGATCCGCTGGTCCGCTGATCCGCTGATCCGCTGGTGCGCTGATCCGCTGATCCCCTGGTCCGCTGATCCGCAGGTCCGCTGATCCGGGTGGTCCGCTGATCCGCTGATCCGCTGATCCACTGGTCCGCTGATCTGCTGATCCGCTGATCCACTGCTGACCGCAGATCCACTGATCCGCTGGTCCACTGATCCGCTGATCCGCTGGTCCGCTGATCCGCTGATCCGCAGGTCCGCTGGTCCGCTGATCCACTGGTCCGCTGGTCCGCTGATCACTCTGATCCGCTGATCCGCTCCGCTGGTCCTCTGATTCGCTGATCCGCTGATCCACTGGTGCGCTGCCGCTGGTCCGCTGATCCGCTGATCCTCTGGTCCGCTGATCCGCTGATCCGCTCATGCAGTCCGCTGATCCGCTGGTCCGCTGATCCGCTGGTCCGCTGGCATGGGCCTGGAGGATGGTCGCTTTTTCGACTTGAGTTTTTGAATTTGATCCCAAGATGAGTGATCTGCAAAAGCGCATTTTCTCACTCTACTTCTCTCTTTTTTTGAAGGTAGAGCACCACGGTGCATCAGCTCGTAAGGAGCCGGACATGGATTGTCTGAATGCCCCGCCTCTTGACCTCGGTCGAGTGCGCCACAAAGTCAAAGTCAAAAGCTGGTCCGCTGGTCCGCTGATCCGCTGATCCACTGCTCCGCTGATCCGCTGATCCATGGTCCGCTGATCCGCTGATCCACTGGTCCGCTGATCCGCTGGTCCGTTGATCCGCTGGTGCGCTGATCCGCTGGTCCGCTGATCCGCTGATCCGCTGATCCACTGGTCCGCTGGTCCGCTGATCCGCTGATCCACTGCATGGTCCGCTGATCGGCTGAATCCACTGGTCCGCTGATCCGCTGGTCCGCTGATCAGCTGATCCGCTGGTCCGCTGATCCGCCGGCAATAATGGTTGGACAATATGACGTCCATGAGTGTCACTGCCAACCAAACCGGATGCAGCTCCAGGGTCGACGAGCAAACCATATCGCTCCTGGCCATGGATGGTGTGGTAGCTCATCTGCGTCTCTTCTTTTCTTCATGTTGAAGACCATGAAGTTCATCTTGAGCTTCTTGTCATAGTGATCCTTGGTCGTGTACTCAGGCTGACCCGAGTATCCCTCAGTGGGCTTCTTGAAGTCTTCGTCCTCAGATGAGGTATGGATCACGAAGCCCTCGGTTCTCTTGGTCGTCTTGACTTCCTTGGAGGCGTTGAGGCATCAGGAATGCCTTCACTGATCGATAGACCACCACGAGGCTTGTAGGTGTCCTCCTCCTGGTAGGCGTAGTAGTGGCCTTTTCGACCATAGCCTTTTCCTTTGATGTTGCGTCGCCATCGCCAGAAGCCTTTCGACTTTCCTTTTCCTTTGTAGTTGTGGCTGCCCTTCTTGTTCTTGCCCTTGCCAAGTGGACAGTCTCGAACTCTGTGGAACTTGCTGCCACAGTTGAAGCAGCCATCATCACTGCCATTGCCTTTCCCCTTGTAGTAGGCTTCGTTGTACTCGCCAGAGATGTTGGAGTCGCTTGCTGAAACAGATCCTGTAGTCATACCAGCCTCGAGGTCAACCTCTTGCCATGACTCGTCGCTGGCATCATGGTTCTCATAGTAGGTCTCGTCAGCGGCGTACTCCTCAAAGATCCATTCGCCTTCATCGACCTCTTCATAGCCATACCACCATGAATCCTCGGCCTCATAGTCATCGCCCCAGTCCTGGTAGTAGGCGTCATAGTCGCCATAGGACTCATCGTTCTCCTCACAGAGAATCTCGGCGTCATCAGGTTCGCGCCGATTGGGGTTGATGCGCAATGCCAGAGCTCGTGCGTCGTTGAAGCGAGTGTAGTCGCCAGCAACCTGCAGCTTGATGTCGTCAACCGTCTTGGATGGCAATCCGGAGATCTTGAGCCATAGAAAGAACTTGCCAACATCGTTCAGCTGCAGTCGAGCTCGGTCATGAGCATCATCATATCGGCTGTCGAACTCAACGCTGTACTCGGACAAGCTGAGCTTTCCTCGAGCAAGGCCAAAGAACTTGTCCAAGGCTTGTGTAGCCAGATCTTGGTCTTGCTGACCGAAGGTCGTGCGGAGTGCATTGGCCAGGAACTGCACTCCTGACGGGATGTGGTTCTGGATGATCACGTTGGTCGCTGGATCACGGACTTCATCCACAGCTAGTCGGACGACAAGTGCTGCATCGCCCACATCGAAGGTGCCATCAGGTCTTGGCACTCTCAAGGACATGGCGATGGTGGATGCTCTTCCGTAGAGTCGTCCGGCCACCAGTGGTCCAATGGCCTCATCTTCCACATTGGCGATCCGGTACCAAAGATTCACCTTGTCGAAGTAGGTCCTCAAGGGATACGAAGCATCGCCTGGGATCCAGCCTGGCGGAATGTCCCGCCGGTACTCTTGGAGCGGAATGCTCCCAGAGCTTGGCGGATTCATAGTCCAGCGATCTTGTAATCGATGGAGTCCACGGGGCCTGTGATGAGGTCTTCAAGGATGTAGGAACCGCCAGCTAGCGGTGTCTTCCAGTGGCACGCCGCCACGGAGCCGCTGCCAGCCAGCAAGGGCCGAAACTATGCCCAGGAAGGTGTGGTCATTGCTTTGGCCGATGACGAATGGCGGAACTTCACCATCGACTTCGAGCACACTTGCGAGACTGAAGAGCGCGAGCTCATGCGTGGAGAGTGATGCATGTTTTGCACTCACATGGAGCGAAAGCCAAGAGGGTGAGCTACAGCACATCACAACCTAACCATGGTAAATGCGCTAGAATCTGCGACTTTGTGCATGATCAGGCTCAGCGAAATGCTACATCCTCAGTGTCCTCCAACTCTGAAGGACCTCATCAAGATCCAGACGGCTGGAAAGCCAGAGATGCCTTTAGACATGTATGGAGACGCTCGAGATCTCTACGAGCTCATCGCAGGACTGAAGACAATGCCTCAGGACAAGACACAGCGGCTCTATGTTTTGTCCATCAAAGAAGCACGATTGGACGGCAGAGTCAGAATGGTGACATTGGTTCCAACGAACTATATGCTTGCCGATTCCCTCACCAAGTCTATGGTCCATGAAATGATGCTGATGTTGTTGACGACAGGTCTAATCAGACTGCGTGGAGTGGAGAAGCACCCCATTGTGACAAGGGTTCTTCCGACCATTGACTGTGACGAGCGCGACCTTATGATGAAGGACGAGGAGATGATTCAGAAGGCAGAGAAGGATAAGAGCATGGTAAGAACTACGCATGCTTCAGTGCTTGTGGGACTGGCGGCATTTGCCACATCCAAGAAGATGCTGGCAGCATTGATGCCGACTTTGGCGTTTGGAACCTTGGTGGGCGCACAATCCACGGAACCGGAGAATCAAGAACAGAAGAGCTACTTCTTTGTGTACCTTCTGATTTTCCTCACTGTGATTCTGGCGGTGACGCTTGAGAGAATGGTGACCAGTTGGATGAAGAAGAAGAAGAAAGGACTTCAACCGGTGAAGATCGAGTCCGACGATGACATGGATGTCGATCAAGAAGGAGATGAACCTTCATCCTCTGGAGCGCACTTCAGGAAGAGGAAAGCAAGCTCCTGAGACACATGGGAAGATCTTGCAAGAAAAGTCATTGACGAGAAGGAGACGCTGAAGCGCAAGAACAAGAAAAGCGAAGAAGATTCACATCTCCTGCAACAAGAGATTGATAGCCTCAAGTTCGACAACGAATGGTGGAAAGACAAGTATGAGAAGCTTGAGGAGAAGTATGACGACAAGGATTTCGAGCTGCAGAACCTCAAGAAGGAGATGACACGCGTCGGAGCAAGAAAGAATCTCCTCGAGACCACGGTTGATGACATGAGAGCTGGACTAGTGAAGTTGGAAGATGAGAATGCCGAGTTGTGAAGATTTGAAGATGAAGCTGGATCGAAGGACATCGGCATCATCACAGACTCCAACGAGGCCAGCGCCGGTGGCACCAAAGATCACTGACAACGCCGAGATGGCCGGCGAGATCGAGAAGCTGCAGAAGATGGTCATGTTTAAGTACCAAGAGATTGTCAGGCGTTTGACACGCATCAAGAGCCTTGAATTGCCTGAAGCCATCTTCATTACGAAGACAGGAAAGAAGTTCCATCAAGAAGGCTGTCCGCACCTCCGTGAAGGAGAACACATCCGACCACGAGAAGCCTTCGGAAAGTGCAATAGCTGCTGCGGCTGAGAGAAAGGCTGAAAGCCAAGGAAGTTCTTTTCTTTTGTGGTCATGGCTGAAAGAAAGCCAGTGAAGACCCAGAACGGCATTCGAAATTGTGCAGTCATGCCTCACGGCCTTATGGCTATGATCAAGTGTAGAGAACATGTTTCACATGGACATAACCGCAGGCGCCTTGGGCACAAATCTGTCGAGTCGGACATATATGATGGATAAATCCCTATTATGAGAACACGCGCGGACATACACACACGGACGCGGACAGACGCATTCAGTGTGCATGCGTGGGGGCGCGCAGCGCGATGACGCAGAACGTCATTGGAACCCTCCGTGGATTAGAACGTAGAGGACGCTAAGGTTGGCTCGCATAGGTTGGCATCATCAACAAATAATCTTTGAAGAGGGTGGATTACGATTGAATTGCGACGCGCGGCAGGAGCCAGGAGCAGTGGAAGAGGACATTGTTCATTTTTGTGTGGGTTTCGCAGGTTGTCTCAAGAAGGTATACAACTTTTTCGGGTTACTCTTCGCTACAGGTCCTTGGGTCGTTTCTGTGCCAGGGACCGACCTTTGCAATCAGCAATCTTGCCATGGCGCAATAGGTCTCATGGGTTGATTACTTAGTAGCTTCTTGTTGTAAGGTTTCTCAATTCCCTTCTTACTATTAGCGATGCACTTGTTTCTAGTGCGTGAAGTTTGTGGTCCTTGGGAGCCCTGGTTTGATATCTAGGTTGCGAGTGTTTTTCTCCAGCTTGAGAGAATTTGTAGCATTAAGGTTTCACCTGTGACATGTTGCGGACATGCTCTTTCCCCACGTCCCGTCTGCCCGCCTCAGCGCACCAGTTCAACTCACACCAGCCCGACTCGCACCAACTCATCTCACATCAGCTCAACTCACACCAACTCATCTCACATCAGCTCAACTCACACCAACTCATCTCACATCAGCTCAACTCACGCCAACCCATCTCACATCAGCTGAACTCACAATAGCTCAACTGACACCAACTCATCTCACACCAACTCATCTCACATCAGCTCAACTCACACCAACCAATCTCACATCAGCCCAGCTCACACCACAACTTCCACATCGACAGCTTGAAGTGTTCTCCCGGCATGCCTGTCTGCATTGCACTCGTTGTACATGCGCGATCTTATGATCTGGTGGCGGTTTAAATGCACCAGGAACATGGAAATGACCTCCAAGCAACGGACAGTTCAAATGATATTGGACGCGTCTGGCCGTAGAGTCACAAGCAGCCGGCCTCGTGAATACGAATGAAGTTAATTGTGGATTTGTGTGGTCCATTGATATACGTGGCACCTAGCTCAAGTCGAGATCCATTCAACGCAATTAACCTATGGCATCGAAGGAGATTCACATATTGGATCCTCTGATTGGGTTACCCCCTCGCGATCGAAAACAATCCATGAAATGCTTGTTGAGGTCACTTTGGGAAGAGAGCAGTTGAACAGGTGAAATCACCATACGAATCAATGTGTTCCTGGACGGTAGCGAATGCAAGGTGTCACCAAAAGATTCCCACCATCGAGCTCGCCTTCTCTGACCAGCCTGCGTTGTGGATCCACAGCGCGGGTAACACAGAACCCAGTCAAGAGCTCGAGCGGCGAGATGAAGTCGCGTGTGTGAGAGTCTACCTGCCAAGATCTGTCGACTGGCAATGCTTGCCACCGGGTAAGGCTCTTACGAAGCAACAGCAGGATACCTGCACTTCTAAAATCAGGGCTGGCATGGTGTTTACAGTGCCAATGACTACCTGACCATTCATATTACTGAGTCCAATGTGTCTCAAAGATGCAAACCAGTTGTAGTTGCGTGGGTGTTACAACAGAGGATATCTTGCAATAGCAATGGATGCGCTCGTTTGCTGAGTCTGGATTCGGGGCCGGATTGAGCGGCCAGCTTGCTTGAGCCTCCACCAGGTAACCGCGCCAATGGATCGCGAAGGAAGGAGGTCGATGCAAAAGAAGCGTGGGGCCAGTCTCGAACCGCTCACGGCACTTTGGTGTGAGATGAGTTGGTGTGAGTTGAGCTGATGTGAGATGGGTTGGTGTGAGTTCAGCTGAGGTGAGATGAGTTGGTGCTCGAGGATGAGTGATGATGACATGCTTGTCACAATGCGTTCCAGGCATCGACGATGCTTTGTTGAGCATGTCCCCTTGCCTGGGCATCAGGCTTCACCTTGAGAAAGCGCCAGGCAGATGGCCCATTACAAATGGGCCCTTTGGTGCCAAATTGGGTCATTCCATCATGTTTGTCTGACTTGTGTCTAGGCATGGGAACTCATTGTCCGCTTTGCCGAAGTCCACAAGCAACAGACAGACTTTGCGCTCCAGGCAGTCCGTGGTACGCGTTGATTGAACAGATTGTTGATGAAGCCATGATTGCAGCCAAACAGCTAAAAGCTTTAGGGTCTTCCATTTGATAAATCGTTTCTGTCCCAAGCAAGCCCATAGGCGTATCAACCTTAGAGGTCTAACGGGTGCACTTTGTCAAGACCTCCTGGAGAGCCAGATTCTCCTCCTACGGTAAGAGTTGGCATCTCAAGCTCAGTCAATGCTGCCCTGCTGACATTTTGTTGACTTGCGCCCAACACTCCATCTTGAGGTAAAGAGGCTCTTGGGTCTACATCGCGAGCCAACGTGAGGCGTGGTCAATGTCCCTCACTTTCGCCCACTTGCGTTTCAACATTGTGAGGAAACATTCCTGCCGGCTGCGTCATTTCACCGACACATGAGGGCGCCTCCAGGAAGCCGCGCTGAACTTTCCCAAGTTTGATTTTCTTCGAGATGCATTGCGTGGTCTTTCCACTTGCTCGCATTGTTTGCATGTTTTCTTCAACTGGCAAGGGCCCAGGGTTAAGACACCTTGAATGTGGGTCCTGCGCCATGTTTGGAGTCAGGACCATGCAGTTGGCCCCCAGCGCCATCATCGAAGCCTGGATGCCCAGCTTTCTGAGCAGTCCTGGGCTCGACTTGACCAGGATGAGGGACTGATGGAGCAGTTGCGTACCCCTGCATTCTGTGCAATAAGTTTTTGCCTCGTATATGAAGCTCTTTCCCATAGACGATTGCATCATTTTGACCTTGTAGAGCACACTATTCAAGAAAGCCAGAAGTATGCTGAGTTGCAAGTGGAGAGTCCCTGTCGCCTCTGCCATCGTGATTTTCAGGCGAACCATACTTGCCTGGTTGCGTGGAACATTGAACTGTACTGCCTTGCTCGTCACGGGACTAACTCCACAGGAGACTGTCCTGATGAGGTCATGCACTCGCCAGGGCTTCCATTGTCCCCAATGTCAGTTGTCCTTTGAGGATGACGAAGCCGTCAACCTTCACTTGCGGCACAGGCATGGAATCAGAGCGGATAGCGCTCTGGATGTACTCCAGAACGTTGTGGCTAGTGAGGTTGCCTCTCATGTCTTGACCATGCTGGAGAATGGTTGTAATTTTCCGGATTTGTACGCGGACCTTTCCCTGCGTACTCAGCTGTCAAGTTTGCGGGCAAGCTGCCAAACGGGTCTCAGGCCCCACGTACATGCACGTGAATGGCAGCTTGCTGCCCACCTTGGGGCCACGCTAGACTTTGGGGCTGGTGGTGCTTGTTGGTGCAATCCTCCGGCCTTCGCGAAACGTGGGCACCAATGCCTCCTATGGTTCCAGACTGCGATCCTTCATTTTGCAGGTCAGCGTGTGAGTAGACCCATTGTGGCGCCTTTCCAGTACTCCACTGAGCTGATACAGTCCAACCTCCCACTTTGAACGATCCTGACCTGGAGAGCCTTCTTCGTGACCGTGATTGCCAAATGCTGCTCACCACTCGAACGACAACCAGTGCCCTCCGCCAGTGGTGTACGGTGTGTGGCAGTCCCGTTTCCATGAATAATAAGTTGATTCTGAATGGTTTTTGAGGACATGCTTGCCAAGCTTCGCGCCTTGCAGACTGACTCACCGGTTCCATGTAGCGTGTGTAACCAGACTGAAGTGCTCCTGGCCTCTGATCCTTTGCGCTCGCCCGCGACGCTCTTGCTCAAACACAGGAGCCCCTGTGTTGTCAATTTGGCCGGATTGCTTGGCAAGTTCATGACCGAAGACTTCGAAATGACAGAAGCGGATGTGCCCCCCCAGTTGATGAAGCACTGGGTCCATTGAACCAGTGCTGAGCAACTCCCGAAAAGACGTCGACCCTCAACACAAGAGGCCCAGGGTGGATATGCCAGACACTCACAAGGCAAAGGTGACCACATCTGCCAAGCGGGAGGAGATGGATCCCGCTGTGCTGACCATCCTGAAGTGCCTCACCGGATTGATACTTCGTCGCGAGGATCAACTCCAGCAACTGGCCCGACAGGACCCCTACATTATTTTCACAAAAAGTCGGAGCGCGTGGCCTGCTCGAGCAACTGGTGCATCAATAGGCGCAGAACAGCGCCCCGACCAGTCCGCTTCGCAACACCTTGGCGCTGTCGATGGTCCAAGGCCTCTTGGATCGAGTTCTGAGTCTCAGCAAGGCGGCGCGGACTCACCTGCCTGGAAGCAGTGGCATCCAGGGTTCTCGTGGAGGACCCGTACGCTTGCTGGTGTCAAGACAGGAAGACCTTGATTGTGGACATTCATCGCCAAAGCTTTCCCATGAACAGGATGACCGAGCTATTGCAGGAACTGGTGGAACAAGTCCGCCAACCAGCCATGATCATGCCCTGAAACCACTGGAGATGCAGGGAACTATGAGAGAGGACCGCCTGATGGAAAACCTGACCATGTTAGCTCAGAGCTCCCTTTGGCGGCTGTACCAGGCCACCATGCGAGAGCACACAGCGAGGAGATCCTTTCTGGCAGTGAGCCTGCAACAGCAGACCTTTGGCAAGGGCAAGGGCAAGCCGAAGGGCCGGGGCAAGCTGGGGACTCCGCCCAAGCTAGAAACCTCGAGTTCAAAAAGACCCTTCAAGCTCGCCTCCTTCAGCGGACCCTTTTGAATGACCAGAACTGGCGCTACGCCAGTAGTGTTGTCTATGCGGTGACGCTGGGAACATTTAACCTTGATGACTTCACTCCGGATGCTTTTGGCTCCAAAGTTCATGAGATGATCACCCTGATCACCTTTGTTCTCTCAGGTGGATGGGGGCTCACGCCCACAGTGCGTGAGTGAGTTTGCTTTGTTTTACAATGGCTGCAATCGCCGGCCTATGACCATGGTTGGGAACGACGTTTCAGCACAGCTGAGGGGTTGCAAGTGGGTGACAATGGGGTTGAATGGGTTCCCCAGTCCATAGATTGGCTCTCTGAACTGGATCAACCTGTCCTTGAGTTGCAAGATGTGATACGGAGTTGGCAATACACCATGAGCATGCGCAATGGCCTGACAGGTACTCCCAGCCTTTTGCCGCTCCACCTGGACCGGCGCATCCCTTGCTGGATCGGGCTCGACGCATCGAGGCGTGCGCCCGTTCCGGCCCCAGTTTGCTGCTGCTGGAATTTGTGGCCCCTACTCACACGAGTGCTCATTTTCCTTGAGCGGCCGCGCAACGAGACCTTAAACCTCGGCGTCTTGAAATGTCAAAATGTCAACTCGCACCAGCTAAGCTCGCATCAGCTCAACTCACACCAACCAATCTCACATCAGCTGAACTCACACCAACCCATCTCAGACGAGCTGAACTCACATCAGCTCAACTCACACCAACCAATCTCACATCAGCTCAACTCATGCCAACTCAACTCACACAAGCTCATCTCACACACCAGTTCACCCCACACCAACTCAACTCAGACCAAATCACTCAACTCACACCAAAGTCCTCATTCAATCATTTTGTCATTACTTTCTTTACCTCTACGATCCTCCTACAAACTCAATGTTGTTTCATCTCATTACTGTACTCTTCTTTCTTCCTCTTTATGCTGCACTCGACTAAACTTCATATGTGGTCATTTAACAGTATTGTGTGCAAGCTGTTGCGGCCAGTAACCATGATGAAATGATAAGGGTTGCTACTTGTATGGTGATCTGGGTGCATCTACTGCTGTTTTCCCATCATCAAGGCCTACGCAACTACCCTTTTTATGTATTTAGGCGAAATGGTCACCTTGCAAAAAACCGGCCATACTATTCATGAAACACTCTAGCGATGCCTCTTGCAGATCTTCCATGGGCAGTGCTTAAACTAAAGGTATTTTTTCAATCAGGTGGTTTGCAGTTTTGGAAACGCTGTGGGGTCGGAAGTGTAACCTTGGGCAAGCACCTACAGATGTTTGTACTTGTTGCTCAGTTTGCGGCTGGAAACATGTTTGCTTTAGCGCGGCTTGCTTCCCTCCACCATTGCTTGTGCAGCTTCAGTGACTGCCAACAAATTTGCCCGGAGCGCCGGGACAGAATATCCAAACAAGCGTCTGCCGCATTGCAATCCTCACATTGCAATCCTCACAATCGTGGACGCCAGCTGCTACAGTTATAGTTATTGTGCGCATGTCTACTATGTTGCCTATCGAACAAATTGATACCAGGGCGTTCAAAAGACTGTCTGCTGAATTTGCCGAGACAATTGTATTCAACGCCGGCACCGCAGGAGTGAAACACAGGGGGCGTGGGCCCTGTTGTTGCAGTCAGGTGAATTGAACTTTAAGACGTTGTCAACGAGAGTTTTATTTCACAAGCTGGCACTTGGAAAAACATGGCGCTTGTCACAACATTTTTGCTGCTTTGGTATTTGGTAAACCTGGTTTTGCCAAAAGGGCGATCTTTGGCAACTTTGAAGCTCAGATGTGGCGGCAGGATACAGAAAGATCAGAAGGCCATGAGACCATCGGAACTCGCAGAGATGCTCGTTTTTTAAGGGTGATTGGATGCTCAAACCCAGGGGCTGGAACAAGCCAAATGAGCACTGATGGAAATTGTAAAGTTGATGGGATGCTGTGCGACTTAGCCGGATGCAAATCAACAACGTCCAAGATTGAACAGGAGGGTTTTCCAAGGACACAGTTGGGTACTCTCTTCTTGGTATCGCCCACGCTCGGCCGTCAAGTTGAGGAATTGAGAAAGGAGATGACGAGGGCGGGGGCCTTGGAATTGAACGCCTCGCATCGAAAGAAGTCTACTCAATCAATATGAAATGCACACATTGCACAGCGGTCTTGACTTTTTGCAATATTGACCACCTTGGCTGGCACTGTCATGCCCAAGGCAAACAAATTCAACGCTGGTTGTATGAAATTATTTTGCGGGTTGGGGTCTGCCCCAATAAAATGGCGGAAGATGAGTGTGCTGCGATTTGGTTTAAGCATTGTTTTTCACGTGTGTCTCATGCAACGCCACAGGCTGCTAGAAAAGCAGCATGGCGAGCGTCCCAAAAGGAGCGATTGTATAATATTTAGGTCGTTTGGATTTTGATTATCAACATCAAACACACTTACGAGCTGCAGGAGGAACAGAAAGAGGAACACAAGGAGAAAATAGTTCGGCTCACGCAACGAAAGGGTTATATATATTATATAGTTGTTTGGCTGGCGTTTGCCTCTAGTGCAAACAAAATCACAGTGCGCAGGAGGAGACCAATTCAAAGCGCCCGATCCTAAACTGTTGAAGAGTTGCCAGTTTCTTGCTCCGCTTCCATGGTGAGGCGTGGCAAAGCGTGGCAAAACTGCAAGGAATGAGCGGGAGCAGCATAGTCCGAATTGACAAATGCCTGTCTTCAAGGGCATGCGGCATGCGCATGATGCATTCCTCCCTTTTGAACGGTTCAAACGGTTTGATACACATATATATATATATATGGCACCCCCTACCAATACCCACCTTTTGCGTTGAGAATGACAGATGGCTCCCTTTGGCAGAATGTCAACATAGGATTAAGTAGCCTCCCGCAATTAATCAAGCCATATCGACCCCATCTCGCCCCCCAACACTAAACTAACTTAAAAGCTAAATTCCACATTGGCCTCCCTCTAATATTTGTGTTCTTGGCAGAAAGCTTCCCATATTAATCAAGCCCATTTGCCGCCAGACAATTATAAATACGGTTATTGATTCTGATAAACTATTATATTATGTTGCTGAAATAAATTCTTTTCAGTTATATACATTAGTATCCAAGATCTTCCTACTATAGTGAAGCTGATCCATGGAACTGATCTTCTGCCCCACCCTATTCACATGCCGTCTGCATGAAATCATTCCGGCTGGTGCTGGTGTTATCATTTTTTAGGATGCTGCTGTCTTCATGACCTCATCTTGATCATTCTCACCACCACCCCTCAGCTGCCTCAATCTGCTCAACCAACCTTCTGATTGCTTCTCCTGAAGGCTCATGCTACCAACCATTCTGATGACCAATGTTCTCCCAAGCAACATTTTTCCACAACCACTAAAAGCTCTCTAGCAAATCTCTTTCATTGATTAAAAGTAAAATTCTATCTGAACACCTTAAGCTCACAAAGGGCGCCCCTCACACAGGCCCTACCCCCTCTGATAGTGGGGGCACCTCCCCCTATTTATTAAGCTCGCCCTTTGGCTTCCATCTTGCCTTCCATTTCTTTCATCCTGCACTCCCCGCCCTTTTCCAAACCGTTATCCCAATTAAACCATCAACGCACCACCCTCACCACATTGCCCATCCTCCTCCATGCTCATTAAATGCAAGCTCCCAATTGGCATGGCTCTGATCTCTCATCAAACTTGGGCCAATATGCTAAGCTCTCTTTGTGCGCGTGGTTCAGACTCTCATGGTTCACACAGAATCCCGTCAACCATCATCCATCCTCAGGTCAGCACATCTATTAGGGGAATGTGGTTTTGAACGTTTTTGGGCTTGTTGACCTTGAAGGGGTGAACAAGCATGTAATAGGATCTCTGGTATGTTTCGTCATATCACTTTATCACAGTCAAACATTTCAATAGTTTTCACCAAATAAAGTATAGCAGCCCCACAACTCATCACCAAAAAAGTCACATTGAAAGATGTATGATAATATAATTCACAAAAACTATATCATGAAAGATAAAAAGCTAGATTGTGCTCAGAATTCTGCTATGTTTGATTGATTTGAGATGAACTTGATAATGCGCTTGGCTCAAGATAATATTTACAAACAGAAGAGGTACTGTAATGATTTTTACCATCCATTCATTGTTTGCTTTGACACACATATATACCTAATACCTAAATGGCCAACAGTCCTTTAACTTTAAAGGTCTCTTCCTAGCATCAAAGATAACACATAATTCTGGAGAGCGGGGGGGCATGGGGGGTGGAGTTGTCAAACTTTTAATTTTGCACGGTTTTGATCTACTTGCTGATGACATGAGATTGATAGGATTGTGAACGTTGTGACTTTGCAAGGCTTTGCTCATCTTTGCTCTATTCGCAGCTGATATGCTTATTTGTTTCATTCAACTATATATATATATATACAAGAAATGTAAGTCATGTGTTTACTTAAAAAATTATTGGATGTAATCCAATTCCATGCAACTCCCATGCAAAATGGCTTTTAGAGTCATTTTGTAAGTTGTTTTGCTTTTATTGAATGCAATTTAATAAGCACATGCAAAGAGTTGCAAACCCTAAACGACCTAATTCTAATTCAATTCTAATTGAATTCACATTCACATCTATTTAGTTCTGTTGTAATTCAATGTTACTTCTATTTCAGTTATCATTCAATTGAATTTTCATGTTGAGTAAATTCCATATATAACCTATTGTATTTGGGTTTCAATGCAAATCTAATTCTAATTCAATTTTGCATAGTTTCAAATATATGTCTGTGCAGTTTATGTTTAATATTCTTTTTCACATCTAATTTTGGCTTTTATGCAATTCTAATGTGCTTCTAGAGAGTGCGTGTTGCCTTTTAACAAGAAAGCTTTGTGTATAATTTAGGTGTTACTTTCTTAACACTTGCTTTCTTAAAATCACACCCCCAGCAACATCCGCTCTCTAGAATGAAGTCAGAATTGAATTTGAATTCAAATTGCATTGCATTTGAAGTAAATTTGCATTGACCTCGAATTAAAATCAAATTGGACAATTCAGTTGGAGATCAAACTAGAATTTTGATAGAAGTGTAAAACAATTGAATTTGAAGTGTATAAGATTTTAAACTAGCTTAAACTAAAAACTAATTACACATACATTGAAATACCAACAAAATTAAACTAGAGTTGAACTACAACTAAATTAGAACTAACTTCGAGATAAATGAAAGTAAATTGGATTTATACCATAATTGATTTCAAATTAGTCTAAACTTAAAATGACATTTAGAATATAACTAAATTGGAATTTAACTTAAACTCAGATAGAATTGAAGTAAAATCAAATTGGAGATTGAAAAAGAAATTCAATTAGACATCAATTAGATTCAAATTAGAATTGGAGTAGGAGTAAACTCAAGACTCAAAAACACTTACATTAGAATTCCATCATGTTCAAATTTGACTTTAAACTTCTAAATGTAGAATGAAGTTAGACTTAAATAAGAATTAAATTAGGGTTCAATAGAATTAAATCAGAATTACAGGGTTTATTAATTCAGTTCACATTTGATTTAAACAAGACATAAGCTAGAGTTGTCTAACACTTAACATAGAATGGAATTAGACTTAAATGTGAAGTCATTTTGGAATAAATGACAATTCAATATAGTTCAATGAACAATTATTGTATTTCAATTCAATCTTAAATCAACTTCCAATATACATATAATTGAATTAGACTTGTTTAACTTAGAACGCGGTTACCATTGAACTAGATTTTAATTAGACTTGAGTGAGAAGTAAATATTATCCATCAAGACGATTCCAGGATCGCACCAAAACCTCCACAAAACAAAGCACACCAAAAAGACACAAAGAAAAAAAACAAAACAAACAGTTCAGACCAGACCCATGGAGAGGGTCTGCTAGACAGGGAACATAGGTCTGAACCTTTTGTTGTTTTTTCCCTATCAGAATTGAACACAATGAAAAGCATTCAAACACCAAAAACCAGAACCAAAACTACATACCCATGGCCAGAGAGTCAGACAGGAGAGAGGCCCCAATTGCGTCAGCAGTTTTGTTTTTTGTGTTTTTTTGTGTTTGAAGGTTTTTTGTTGCAAGCGAGGCCCCAATGGCGTTTGCAGTTCTTTTTTCGTTGTTTTAGTTTAACTTAAGTATTCTGGAGCTCTTTTTGTTTCATTATTTTGAGAACCAAAATATGTTTTTTTGGTAAGCATGAAAAGTAGAACACACAACTTCTGCCTAAGCTCCAAAGGGCCAACCCAAAAGGCCAATCGTGCACATGGTGAGTTTATGCATGTTTTTGCACATATTGTAATTTTGAGAGTTTGATCAGCAGATAGAAGGCTTTGAAGCAGAGAGTTGTAAAAAAACGCGCGTTTCTAGATGCCCGCCTCGACCCCCCCTCATCCCCCCTTCTGTAATTCTAATAATATTTGACTGTTAGAGCTATGGCATATTTCAATTTAAGTTCAGGATACCTTAACTTCAGGAACATAGTTGGAGAAGACAAGGAAAGTCTGGCAACTGCACTGACTTAGAAAATTTGGGCATGAGAGAGGTACGAAGTGGTCTTCGTACCTCTCTCATGCCCCAATCCTCTAAGTACTGGAGTCTTACTGTTCTTGATTCTTTCTATACTCATGTACATATATATACTGTACATATGGTACCCCCCATATGGAAAGTGTTCAAAACAATGTGGAAAAAGGGGTACCATGTATATATATATTCTACATATACACATATCTATCCGAAGATGGTGCCTTTTCAGCTTCATCATACACTGATCGAGCCATCTACCGAAGTTCTGAGCCACACTGAGCCTTCATCAGCCCACGACTTCGCATTGCTTGACGTATCCAAAATAGTTGAAGTTTGTTTGGATCAACTTTGACAAGTCTGAGTAGCAAGTTCATTAATTTCAACTTCACGATCCCATTTTGACTGGCGTGTTGTTTGTCTTCCGATCGGTCAATCTCTTTTTTCGGCATGCAAGGCAGTGATTTGGGTGATTTGGCCGGGATGGTGTCTGGTGTCACGAAGATAAACAGCGATGCAAAGAAAAGATAAGAAGAAGAAGAACGTATTTGGGACCCTTTAATAAGGCCCTATTTAAGGGGTCCCAAGCATGTTTCTTTTTTCTTACCTTTTTTCCCTTTCTGACAGAGTTTGTGACACCACGCGTCCAGACACCCATACAATTGTGCAGAGCCTTCGCCCCAATGCATGCACGAGATCCGCGAGCACCATGAGTCTGACTTCAATGAGGGTCTTTATCTCAGCTTGCAGAGTTGTCCTCCGTTTGTGCCATTGAGAGTTCTGGTCTGGCAGAGTTGCCCTAAGTGTCGTTTAAGGATGTTTAAAAAGATGCTGCTTGCAAACAAATTGGAGTGTCAGATTTCTCTTTTTTTGCGAAAAGACATGCCATAAGACCTTAGACCTTAAGGAAAGTGAGCTTCGCTGGAGCTGGCTGTAGTTGGGCATATTTGGCCGCAGTCAGCCTTGGGCTTTGGAGCTTCAGGTCAAGAGACCTCAGGTGGGGCGTTGGCAAAAACATGCTGAGAGACAAAGCGTCGGAGAAAGTGTTGGAGAAGGTCGAAAGTCTTTGTCTCTTGGCTTTCAGGTCGGACTTCAAGCTGTTGGAGTCTCAACGAACCCGAAACGCTTTCAAAGCTTCAAATTCGCATGTCCAGTTGTTGCCGCTTCAAGGCCCCAGTCCTTGCCAGCGGTCATGCTCGACTGGGAAACAG